TGGAATTATTTTAGCTAATTTGTCTTTAGATATTATTTTACAGGATACATATTATGTGGTAGCTCATTTTCACTATGTGTTTGTGTCAATAGGAGCAGTATTTGCTATTATAGCTTGATTTATTCATTGATTTCCATTATTTATTGGTTTAACGATGAATCCTATTCCTTTAAAAAATCAATTTATTATAATATTTATTGGAGTATATTTAACATTTTTCCCCCAACATTTTTTAGGTTTAGGAGGGATACCTCGTCGTTATTCTGATTACCCAGATAGATTTACTTCTTGAAATATCTTATCTTCTTTAGGAAGATTTATTTCATTATTTAGAATTATTTTATTTATTTATATAATTTGAGAATCTTTTATTTTAAATCGAATCAGATTATTTCCAATTAATATAAATTCATCAATTGAATGATTTCAATTATCAAATCCCTTAGAACATAGTTATACTAAAAATGCAAATGCAAAGGTAAATGCGAAAGCAAACGTAAGTGCAATTGTATATGCAAACGCAAACGCCAATACATAATATGCCAAATCAAATGCGTATATATGTGCAATCGCGTTGATGAGAGCAAAATCAAAGGCTAATATGATTGCACCTACAAATATAGATGCAAACGCAGATTTAAATGCAAACACAAATGCAACTGTGTATCGCAAATGCAAATGCGAATGTAAACGAGAAGTAAATGGAAACGCATATGCAAAAACTTAAATGCAAATGTAAAAGCATATGCGAATATGAATGTCGATGCAAGCGTATATAAAAATGCAAATACAAATGCAAATGTCGATGTAAGTGCAAGCACAAATGCAAACGTAGAAGTAACGCAAACGCGAATGCAAATGCAAACGCATATGCAAATATAAATGCACAAGCATATGCAGACGCAAGTGCAAACGCAATTGTGAATGTAAAGAAAAACGCAAATCCAAATGCAAATGTAGACGCAAACGTAAATGCAAGCATAAACGCAAATGCACATGCAAACGCAAGTACAAATACAAACGCAAACGCATATGTAAATGCAAACGCACTTGCAACCGCGAGTTTTAATATAAACTTAATTATGGACTCAAATGAAAAATGCATAATAGAAGGCTAATGCAAATTCTAATGTGATTGCAAGCAAAAATACAAACATAGGTGCCAACGTAAACGCAAATGCTAACGTAGATGAGAACGCAAATGCAAACACAAATGCAATGGCAAATGTTAATGTAGGGAAAACACAAGACACAAATGCAAATCTGTATGCAAGCCCAAGAAGGTATTATCAGGAGCTATTACTATATTATTAACAGATCGAAATTTTAATACATCATTCTTTGACCCTTCTGGTGGAGGAGACCCAATTTTATACCAACATTTATTCTGATTCTTTGGACATCCTGAAGTTTATATTTTAATTTTACCTGGATTTGGAATAATTTCACATATTATTTCTCAAGAATCAGGAAAAATTGAAACTTTTGGAACTTTAGGAATAATTTATGCTATATTAGCTATTGGATTATTAGGTTTTATTGTATGAGCTCATCATATATTTACTGTAGGAATAGATGTTGATACTCGTGCCTACTTTACTTCGGCTACTATAATTATTGCTATTCCTACAGGAATTAAAATTTTTAGTTGACTTACTACTCTTCATGGATATAAATTTATATATAGCCGCTCATTATTTGAAAGATTAGGATTTATTTCTTTATTTACTATTGGAGGATTAACTGGAATTATTTTAGCTAATTTATCTTTAGATATTATTTTACAGGATACATATTATGTGGTAGCTCATTTTCACTATGTGTTTGTGTCAATAGGAGCAGTATTTGCTATTATAGCTTGATTTATTCATTGATTTCCATTATTTTGGTTTAACGATGAATCCTATTCCTTTAAAAAATCAATTTTTTATAATATTTATTGGGGTTAGTTTAACATTTTTCCTCGACATTTTTAGGTTTAGGCGAAATGCCTCGTCGTTATTTTGATTATCAAGGTAGATTTACTTCTTGAAATATACTCTTTTCTTTAGGAAGATTTATCTCATTATTTAAAATTATTTTATTTGTCTATATAATTTGAGAATCTTTTATTTTAAATCGAATCAGATTATTCCCAATTAATATAAATTCATCAATTGAATGATTTCAATTATCAAATCCCTTAGAACATAGTTATACTAAAAATGCAAATGCAAAGGTAAATGCGAAACAAACGTAAGTGCAATTGTATATGCAAACGCAAACGCCAATACATAATATGCCAAAATCAAATGCGTATATATGTGCAATCGCGTTGATGAGAGCAAAATCAAAGGCTAATATGATTGCACCTACAAATATAGATGCAAACGCAGATTTAAATGCAAACACAAATGCAACTGTGTATCGCAAATGCAAATGCGAATGTAAACGAGAAGTAAATGGAAACGCATATGCAAAAACTTAAATGCAAATGTAAAAGCATATGCGAATATGAATGTCGATGCAAGCGTATATAAAAATGCAAATACAAATGCAAATGTCGATGTAAGTGCAAGCACAAATGCAAACGTAGAAGTAACGCAAACGCGAATGCAAATGCAAACGCATATGCAAATATAAATGCACAAGCATATGCAGACGCAAGTGCAAACGCAATTGTGAATGTAAAGAAAAACGCAAATCCAAATGCAAATGTAGACGCAAACGTAAATGCAAGCATAAACGCAAATGCACATGCAAACGCAAGTACAAATACAAACGCAAACGCATATGTAAATGCAAACGCACTTGCAACCGCGAGTTTTAATATAAACTTAATTATGGACTCAAATGAAAAATGCATAATAGAAGGCTAATGCAAATTCTAATGTGATTGCAAGCAAAAATACAAACATAGGTGCCAACGTAAACGCAAATGCTAACGTAGATGAGAACGCAAATGCAAACACAAATGCAATGGCAAATGTTAATGTAGGGAAAACACAAGACACAAATGCAAATCTGTATGCAAGCCCAAGAAGGTATTAGCAGGGGCTATTACAATATTATTAACAGATCGAAATTTTAATACATCATTCTTTGACCCTTCTGGTGGAGGAGACCCAATTTTATACCAACATTTATTCTGATTCTTTGGACATCCTGAAGTTTATATTTTAATTTTACCTGGATTTGGAATAATTTCACATATTATTTCTCAAGAATCAGGAAAAATTGAAACTTTTGGAACTTTAGGAATAATTTATGCTATATTAGCTATTGGATTATTAGGTTTTATTGTATGAGCTCATCATATATTTACTGTAGGAATAGATGTTGATACTCGTGCCTACTTTACTTCGGCTACTATAATTATTGCTATTCCTACAGGAATTAAAATTTTTAGTTGACTTACTACTCTTCATGGATATAAATTTATATATAGCCGCTCATTATTTGAAAGATTAGGATTTATTTTTTTATTTACAATTGGAGGATTAACTGGAATTATTTTAGCTAATTCATCATTAGATATTATTTTACATGATACATATTATGTTGTAGCTCATTTTCATTATGTATTATCAATAGGGGCAGTATTTGCAATTATAGCTGGATTTGTTCATTGATTTCCATTGTTTACTGGATTAACAATAAATCCTATTTTTTTAAAAACTCAATTTATTATAATATTTATTGGAGTAAATTTAACATTTTTCCCCCAACATTTTTTAGGTTTAGGAGGAATGCCTCGTCGTTATTCTGATTACCCAGATAGATTTACTTCTTGAAATATCTTATCTTCTTTAGGAAGATTTATTTCATTATTTAGAATTATTTTATTTATTTATATAATTTGAGAATCTTTTATTTTAAATCGAATCAGATTATTTCCAATTAATATAAATTCATCAATTGAATGATTTCAATTATCTCCTCCTTTAGAACATAGATATTCTGAATTACCAATTTTAAATTCAATTTATCTAATATGGCAGATTAGTGCAATGGATTTAAACCCCAAAAATAAAGTATAACTTTTTTTAGAAATGAATACTTGAATAAATTTTAATTTACAAAATAGAAACTCACCTTTAATAGAACAATTAATATTTTTTCATAATCATTCAATATTAATTATTTTATTAATTACAATTTTAGTAGGATATATTATAAGATCTTTATTTTATAATAAATTATATAATCGTTATTTACTTGAAAGACAAAATATTGAAATTATTTGAACAATTCTACCTGCATTTATATTAATTTTTATTGCTTTACCTTCTCTTCGACTTTTATATTTATTAGATGATTCAAATAGGCCTTTAATTTCTTTAAAAGCAATTGGTCATCAATGATATTGAAGTTATGAATATACTGATTTTAATAATATTTCTTTTGATTTCATATATAATTCCATCTAATGAATTAAATTTAAATTCATTTCGTTTATTAGATGTTGATAATCGAATTATCTTACCTATTAATTCACAAATTCGTATTTTAATTACTGCTACCGATGTTCTTCATTCATGAACTATTCCCTCTCTTGGAATTAAAATTGATGCTACTCCTGGACGTTTAAACCAATCAAATTTTATAATAAATCGACCAGGATTATATTTTGGACAATGTTCAGAAATTTGTGGAGCAAATCATAGATTTATACCTATTGTAATTGAAAGAATTTTAATTAATTCATTTATTAAATGAATTTCATCTAATTCATAAGATGACTGAAAGCAAGTATTGGTCTCTTAAACCATTTTATAGTATTATAGCAAATACTTCTTATGAAAGATTTAGTTAAATTAAATAACATTAGAATGTCATACTAAAATTATCAAAAGATAATCTTTATTGCCACAAATAATACCAATATTATGATTAATTTTATTTATTTACTTTATTATTATTTTTATTTTATTTATAATTAAAAACTTTTTTATAGTAAAATATAGAAATCTTAAATTATTAAAGAAAAATTACCTTAATAATAATATTTTTATCTGAAAATGATAACTAATTTATTTTCTATTTTTGATCCTATAAACTCAAATAATTTATCTTTAAATTGAATTAGAACTATATTAGGACTATTATTTATTCCAAATATATTTTGAATAATTCCGTCCCGATACAATATAATTTGATTAAAAATTATTATAACACTTCATAATGAATTTAAATTACTTATAAAATTTAATCCTATAGGAAGGACTTTTATATTTATTAGATTATTTTCATTTATTTTATTTAATAATTTTTTAGGTTTATTTAATTATATTTTTACAAGAACTAGTCATTTAACTTTAACTTTAAGATTAAGACTTCCTTTATGATTAAGATTTATATTATTAGGATGAATTAATAATTATAATCATATATTTAGTCATCTAGTGCCTCAAGGAACTCCAATAATTTTAATACCTTTTATAGTTTGTATTGAAACAATTAGAAATATTATTCGACCTGGTACATTAGCCATCCGACTCTCAGCAAATATAATTGCTGGACATTTAATTCTAACTTTACTTGGCAATACAGGAAACTCTCTATCTATATGATTAATTTGAATTTTAATTTTCTCTCAATTAATTTTATTAATTTTAGAAATTGCTGTATCTATTATTCAATCTTATGTATTTGCTGTTTTAAGAACTCTTTATTCTAGAGAAATTTACTAATGTCACAAAATCATCCATTTCATTTAGTTGATTATAGTCCTTGACCTTTAACTGGAGCTTTAGGAACTTTAAGTTTAACATTAGGTATAATTATATGATTTCATCAATTTAATTATACATTAATATTATTAGGAATAATAATTACCTTATTAACTATATTTCAATGATGACGAGATATTAGTCGAGAAGGATCATTCCAAGGTCTTCATAGTTTAATAGTTTCTAAAGGATTACGAATCGGAATAATTTTATTTATTATTTCAGAAATTTTATTCTTTTTTTCTTTCTTCTGAGCATATTTTCATAGAAGATTATCACCTTCTATTGAATTAGGAATAATTTGACCACCTTTAAATATTAAAATATTTAATCCTTTTCAAATCCCTCTATTAAATACAGCAATTTTATTATCTTCAGGAATTTCAATTACATGAGCTCATCATTCATTACTAGAAAAAAATCACTCAGAAACAATAAAAAGTTTATTTATTACAATTATTTTAGGAATTTATTTTTCTATACTTCAATGATATGAATATTTAGAAGCTCCTTTTTCTATTGCAGATTCAATTTTGTATCCTTTTTTTTATAGCAACAGGATTTCACGGTCTTCATGCTTTAATGGGAACTTTTTTCTTCTAATTTGTTTACTTCGACTAAGATCATTGATGAGGTAGATAAATTTTTATAGTATATAAGTATATGTAACTTCCAATTACAAGGTCTAATTTTTAGTAAAAATAATTTATTTTATTATTATTTGAAGATTAATTATTTTTTTATTATGTATAATTATTATATTATTTTCTTCCTTAATTTCTATAAAATCAAATTATGATTTAGAAAAAAATTCTCCATTTGAATGTGGTTTTGATCCTACATGCGCTTATCTTCTTATTTTCGATATTGAAATTGCTTTACATCTTCCTATAATTAATTTATATTCAATTTCTATAAAACTTTATTGAATATCAACAAGTATTTTGTTTATTTTAATTATATCTTTGGGTTATTTCATGAATGAAATCAAGGAATATTAAAATGAAATTAGGATTATAGTTAATTATAACATTTTTATAATTAACATTAACAATCTTAAATAAGAAGCAATAATGCAAACAGTTTCGACCTATCAATTGGTATATTCATCCTTATTTATTAATTGAAACAAAATTAGAGATATATTACTGTTAATGATACTATTGAATTATGTTCCAATTAGAAATATTCAATATTTAGCTTCTAACTTAATTATAGTGATTAATTATAATTAATATTTTTATTTATATAGTTTGACTAAAACATTACACGTTCGATGCAAGAATAAAAACCTCTTTTCATAAATATATTTAAAGAAAAAGAAATTCTTCATAACAGCTTTAATGTTATACTATATATATAAGCCAAATTAATAAAAATATAAAATCAATAAATAAACTACTCAAAAGGTACTACTTAGGTAGAATTATTAGATTAGCTAATTTAGCATTTGTTGCTTTTCCTTTTTTAGCTGGGTTTTATTCTAAGGATTTAGTTTTAGAAAGTCCGAACTTTTCGAAACGTTTGAAAGTTAAAACTTTTAGAAAGAAAAGTATGAAGCATAAAAATTTTTGATATTTTTAGGGATAGTTTAAATCTATTTTATATAATGAAGGTAAATTTTGCATAATTTTTCTATCAAAACAATCCTTTTTTTTCAGGCACATTATTTTTTTTTTCATTTATTGAAATTTGTGTTATACTGGACTCAAATTTAATTATTAAAATAATTATTTATTATATATAATTAAAATTATGATTTTACAAAATAATTAAATTTTATATATAAATATACTAATTAATTGAACAACATAAATATAACTTACTAGGAAACAAATAAAGAATGAATAATATTAGTATAATAATTAATGAAATATTCTATTGTAAATAAATATATATAAATCATTAAGTTTAACGACAACATTTTGTAGGCAATTAAATACTTCATATACAATTAAATAACCGGAATAATTAATAAAATATGAATATTTTATTGTATATAATATATATATAAAATATACACAAAAAATATTGATATGTAATTAAAAAGATTATTTTACGGAATAATTAAATTTTATATATAAATATATTACATAATTGAAAAAAAACAAAATATAAATTACTGGAAAAAAAATAAAGAATAATATATAATTAATAATTAATGAATGAATATATTTTATTATAAATAAAAATATATAATCATTAAGTTTACCGACAACGATTTATGGTTATTAAATAGTTTATATTTGACTAAATAACCGGAATAATTAATAATAATATAAAAGTTTTTATTATATATAATACATATACATATATATATATATATATGATATATATATATATATATATATATATGCATGTATGTATATATATATATATATATGTATGTATATATGTATATATATATACATTATATATATATACATGAATGTATATATTTTATTTATTTATGACAATAGACAATTAATTTTATAGTAAATTATATTATATAGATGGAATATAATATGTATATATTATAAAAATAAAATCGTTATTGAAGTAATTAATTGTACGGTAATGATAGATAATTAATTTTATAATAAATTAATTGTATAGTAGGGAACATAATAGTATTATAAAAATAAAATCGTCATTTAAATAATTAATTACATGGATATAGTAGTAGATTAATTTTATAATAAATTATATATAGTAGGAAATACGATTCTATTGAAGGGTAAAACCGTTTTATAAAATAATTAGTTGTAGGGGATATAATACATAATTAATTTATGTATAAAAAATTACATAATATCATATATATATTATATATATAGTAGGGAGCAGAATATATATTATAAGGGTAAAATCGTTATTAAAATAATTAACTAAAAATAATTAATTAATATAATGGTTAATTAAAACAATTAATTAATAATTAATTAAAAAATCATTTTTCCAAGATTTTTCCTCAAATTTTGTTCTAAATTTCCAAACAGATTTTGAGAAATGTCGACTTTGTCAGATTGCTATAAAATAAAAACTAGTAGTCGGAGGGGTCTAAAAAAACAGTGGCGATTTATTGAAGTCATAACATATGTACTTTTGGAATATAAGTCGAATCAGAGCAACTTAGATTTTTACCCGAAAAATTTCCAATGGTCCCCCATTTGCGAGAATTGTCGATTTTGTCAGATTGCTATTGCTATACTAGACTTTAGCTATAATAGACTTTAATAAATTGCCACTGAATTGTTAGAGCCCTCCGACTACTAGTTTTTTTTATTTTATAGCAATCCTGAAAAGACGACAATTCTCGCAATGGCCGAATTTTTTCGGCCTCTAAAATCGAAATGCTATTATACCACTTATATTCAAAAGGTATATATAATAATAAATTTTTTGAAAAAATTGCAATGTGGGATCTTGTAAAAAATTTGGGGTAAAAAAATTTTTCGAAATATTTTGGGGAAAAAATTCTTTGTGAAATTTTTTTTGAAAAAAATTTTGTGAAAAAAATTGGAAAATTTTTGGGAAAAAATTTTTTTCGAAAAAATCCTAGAAAAAAATCTTTGAAAAAATTTTGTGACAAAAAATTGGGAAAATTTTGGGAAAAAAATTTTTGGAAAAAAATATGGGAAAAAAAATTGGGAACAATTTTTTTTTTTCGAAAAAATCCTGTAAAAAAATTTTTTGGAGAAAATTTCTAGGAAATAGTCTTGGAATAAAAGATTTTTTTGCAAAAATATTTGGAATTCGAATTTTTAGACCCCTCTGACTACTATTTTTATTTACAGAAAATTTTTCTAATGGGCCCTGACAAATCGACAGTTCTCGCATAGGGGACCATTGGAAAAATTTTCGACCAAAAATTGAAGTTGCTCTGATTCGAATTATATTCAAAAGTGCATATAATATGACTTTAATAAATCGCCACTGAATTGTTAGACCCCCCCGACAACTAGTTTATATTTTATGGCAATCTGACAAAAACGACAATTCTCGCATGGGGGACCTTTGGAAAATTTTTCGGCCTAAAATCGGAGTTGCTCTTATTCGACATATATTCAATAAGTACATTTATTTTTACAAATGAATTTTACAAGTAAATTCTTTTTACAAGATTTTTTCGAAAATTTTTTTTTCCCAATTTTTTTTACAAAATTATTTTCCGAAAATTTTTCCCAAAAATTTTTTCTCACCAAAATTTTTCCCAAAAAAAATTTTTCCAAAGAATGTTTTTCCCAGAATTTTTTCGTATTTTTTTTTCGCAGAATTTTCTTTTCCAATATTTTTTCAAAGAATGTTCCCCCAAAATTTTTTCGAAAAATTTTTTTTCACAAGATTTTTACCCGGAAAATTTTGGAATTTGAAAAAAATTTTTGGTATAAACATTCTTTGTAAAAATTTTTTTGGTAAAAATTTTGGGAAAAATTTTGAGAAAATTGGGAAAATTTTTTTTTTCGAAAAAATCCTGTAAAAAAATTTTTTGGAGAAAATTTCTGGGAAATAGTCTTGGAATAAAAGATTTTTTGCAAAAATATTTGGAATTCGAATTTTTAGACACCTCTGACTACTAGTTTTTTATTTTACAGAAAATTTTTCTAATGGGCCCTGACAAAATCGACAGTTCTCGCATAGGGACCATTTGAAAAATTTTCGACCAAAAATTGATGTTGCCCTGATTCGACTTATATTCAAAAGTGCATATATTATGACTTTAATAAATCGCCACAGAATTGTTAGACCCCCCAGACAACTAGTTTTTATTTTATGGCAAATCTGACAAAAACGACAATTCTCGCAATGGGGGACCTTTGGAAAATTTTTCGGCCTAAAATCGGAGTTGCTCTTATTCGACATATATTCAATAAGTACATATATTTTTACAAATGAATTTTACAAGTAAATTTTTTTTACAAGATTTTTTCGAAAATTTTTTTTTCCCAATTTTTTTTTTACAAAATTATTTTCCGAAAACTTTTCCCAAAAATTTTTCCTCACCAAAATTTTTCCCAAAAAAAATTTTTCCAAAGAATGTTTTTTTCCCAGAATTTTTCGAATTTTTTTTTTCGCAAAATTTTCTTTTCCAATATTTTTTCCAAAGAATGTTTTCCCCAAATTTTTTTCGAAAAATTTTCTTTCACAAGATTTTTACCCGGAAAATTTTGGAATTTGAAAAAATTTTGGTACAACATTCTTTGTAAAAATTTTTTTGGTAAAAATTTTGGGAAAAAAATTTTTTGGAAAAATTTTGGAGAAAAAATTTTGTGATAAAAATTTTTTCGGAAAATCTTTCCACTTCAAATTTGGGAAAAAAAATTTTTTTCGAATAAATATTTTAGAAAACATTTTGAATTTGAAAAATATTTGTTCTGATTCGACTTATATTCAAAAAGTACATAGATTATGACTTTAATAAATCGCCAAAGA